GCTATAGAAACAATAAAAAACAACAGTAAATTAAATAAAATCTAACTGATGCTTGGCGAAACACCGACAGTAGTATCAGAACTTCCCTTTAATTTATTTTAATGATTAACTTACATGATACAGTAGCACTAGTCACCATTAGTGATATAGTTTCCTTCAGTTCAGTTCCATCCATACTACAAGTATAGGGACCACTGTCATCTACTTCAACTGACAGTATAGTATAGTTACTCTGTACAGCTGGACTAGTAGAAAAACCACCTCTTTGAGAAATATTCCGAGTATCATCACCATTAGTTATAGTACCATCAGCCATGTTGCTGCTGTCCATCCAATTGATCTGATAATCCGCTGGTAGGTATCCAGTGAAAGTACATGATAGTGTGACGTGAGTGTCTTTTTGAACAGTCACTGTATTCCCTGCTCGTACTAACAGTCCATCATAATAGACTTCTGCTGATACATTACCTATAAAAGAATCAAATAAAAGAAACATTTGTAAATAAGAATTTATAAGTGCTAGATCAATATTCAACTACTGAGCTTACTAGAAAGTGTTAAACTGATGTTATTTGTAGTATTCATGTCAGGTTTTATGGAATTAAAAACAATATTCGAAGGATCAAGAGAATCACCAAATGCCAGATAAGAGGCAGAACAGGTATAATCCCCAGCATCAGCAGCACTGATATTAGATAACATCAATATACTGGTCCTTGTGGTATCTGCTGCTTTAATATCTCCATCACTAACTCCAGGGCCAGTCCAAGTCCAGGCAAAGGTTCCATTATTGTCGACTGTACAGGATAAGGTAAGAGATGACTGTACTGTATCAGGCTGCAGTGTTTGATTAGGAGACATGAATACAATAGGAACAGCAGGAAATGAAGTGTCTATAGAAATAATATAAAAGGAGTTATTATGATAGATTAATGTATTTACCTGTGTTAGTGAAGAACTTCATTTCACTGATGAATGTTTGAGTTGCAGCAAAAGATGATGAAAAAATGAACTGCAAACGAAAGAACTGATATAAAAATAAGAAATTCTGTGGAGTAAGTATGATCAGTGAGAGCATTTGAACATTATCATCAGACTGAGATACTTCTGAATTATCAATAAATGTACTGACAACATTAGTATAACTATCTTCAGTGCCAGTAGTAGATATACCAGTCCTTATATCAGGCAGTCCATATCCTCCTGATGGATTGTTATAATAATATATATCAACACGAGTCAAGAACAAATCTTGAGATTGAGATTCAAAGCTAAACTCAAGATCAAAAGATCTGTTCCATCCCATAAAGTCATTAGACTCAAAGTCCATTCCTTCATTAGTTACATCATCAGTCAGTCTGGCAGTATT